AAAATTACAACCAAATTTAGAACTTTTTTCTTTTTGAAGATTTTATATTCTATTGAAAAGTAATCGATTTAGAATTGGCCGCGTATTCGTAAACCAGTGAAACGTTGACTATTCGAGTACCTCTCTCACGAAATACCAACAAGAGAAAAGGTTCTTTATTCCACTCTGTTCGGTGTGAACTCGAGTGTGAAATTTTAAATGTTAACTCGACCATAAAAATATTGCCGGTAAAAATTTTAAACAATTCCAAACGTTTCCTTGGCCGAGTTTCTTGGATAATAAAAGCTTCTATATCACGATATATATTTCTTTATCTTCGGTGGCGTTAATTCTGAAACGTTGGCGAAGCAAGGTTGCATAGATAATTTTAAGTATTTTTTTTAAAGTAGTTTCTAAGATTTGTTTTAGTTTAGTTTCATACTAGCTTTTGTCCATTGTCTTTGTCCACGTAACAAGAATATGTTCACTAACAAGAGAAAGACTTTGTACAAAATAACTTGCTAGGGTATCCCTGTCCCCATTGTTGTTTCTGCTGCGAAGCAGTTGTTTGCATGGCTGCATTTTTGTGTAAAGAGTGGGATATGGCAATGAAATTACAGGGTACAGAGGCATAACACCTTGGTCCTCAGGAATAGCAACGCATGAATCTAGTAATGGTAAAAATGGTATCTTGGTCGACGCGACACGATCAGGAAAAAAGTAATGCTAGGACAGACAGACGAACGGTAAATGTCTGACGTAAATTTATCAATATGTTGACCTACCCATCAATCTGTCGAATGTATACACAAACTTATACAACTCTGAAACAAACTTGAGCCTAATAATTTTTTAGTTTGTATTTTCAACAGATTTTCTTTGCAACTTTCGCTTTACTTAAGGTTTTTTCATTGTAAAGTAAAAGTGGAGTTCATAATTTTTGTCCGTCAGACGCGTTACGTGATCCGTTCGTCAATTCTGAAGGAACTCTGATTTGACGTTCCATGAAGTTTACGTCATAAAATGAATACAAATTATGTTATGATTGAATTTGACTGTTTTTCGGAACGAATTCTTAATATTATAAAAAATTATAAATTATGAAAAAATCGTTATTCATCAGTTAATTGTCCACTGCTGGATATAAGCGTTCCCCATAAGGGAGGTTTGCTCCACTTTTGTTGCCACGCTTGGCAAGCGGATTGGCAACCGCAGTTAGGCTTTGGAGATGTTTTAAGAGGGACGCTGCTATCCATATCTCGTCCTCCCTTAGACGCTTTTTACGACACCCAGGACAAAGGAAGGGATGGCCTATTCTATGCCGAGGGACACACGGCGTAAAAAACTGAAAACCAGTTTGACTGATTTGAATATTCTTTTTTCTTTTTGTCTATTGTAATACAAAAGTAGTTTAAAAGAAAAAAAAATAGGGAAAATCCTAAATTTTAGTTGAAAAATCGAAAAATTGAAATAGGTAATTGTGTATGGGAATTGTTACTTAGGATTACTTTCAACAGATGGCGTTGTAGGTTATACAAAGTTCAACGGGCGAATTCATCTCAGCCGTTATCTGTCCACTGCTGGACACAGGCCTACCCCATAGACTACCATAAGGAACGATCCTGAGCCTCCTTCATCCACTGACTCCCTGCAATGTATTTGACGTCGTCACTTCATCGAGTTAATTTTTATAAACATGAAAAGAAAGTCAACAGTTTTCTACTTATGTGTTTTTACCTTTTTCTTTATTTAGTTACTTGTTGCTTACAGGTTTATTACTCTGTGGCATTAGGCGCAAGCGGTCTCTGACTGTTTGACCTTTGCTTTGTCTATGCTATGCTGCCAGTGCTGGGAGGTGATGCCACAGTCTGCGTCTACTTCTGGTGACCAAGCTTCAGTGGAAGCTTTTAATGTAAGTTCACCAGGGACTTTATACAAAAGTCAACAACATACAGCATTATACAACTGTGTCTTAGTTTATTTTTTTTTTATTTGTAATTTGTTTTTTAGTCCTTTTGAATACACAATTTGGCATTATTAAGGGTAGATCCCTTAATTTACTAGTATGTTTTAACTTGGTATAGTTATTTATATAGAAAAGATTATATGGATTTACTCGTAGATATATATTTTTTTTAATGGGTGATAATGGAATGGTAACCCCACCCGTGCTATTGGTATACTCCGGCGAGGCACCAGTGAACGATGATAGATGGGGATGAAGCAGGTCAGTAAGCCCATCGTGACGAATTCAACAAGAATTGTTCACTATGGTTTCCAGGGGGAACCACGTGGAGGTCGACCTGATAGGGCGATAGGACCTGATATTGCTAGCAATGTCGAACTCCATTGCTAACAATCCCTTTCCCCCCTCGTAGATATATTTGCCGTGTGGTCCCGGCATGGGACGAGCCACTTCTTTTACCGTGGGTGTCGTAAAGGGCGAGTAAGAGAACTTAATAGGCGAGGGATGGACAGAAGCGTTTCTCTTAAAACATCACCAAAGCCTAACTGCGGTTGGTAAATTACTTGCCAAGCGTGGCAACTACTGGCAATACCCCATCAATGGGGAGGCCTATGTTTATTAGTGGATATTATGGTTGACATGATGATAATGAAGCTGGTATGATGGAGAATGCAGGTTAGATGCAATTCTTATGGACGGACTTTATAATTACTATCAAATGGCTATGAGTCAATGTGTAATATAGAAAAAGAAAATGGTTAGGTACGAAGGCATAACATCTTAGTGTTTAGAAATGCATGAGGTATACCCTGGGTATTACAGTATATTCTGGGATGTCTGTGGTGCTGCTCATGTCTATAGGTAACGTTTACCATTTTCCATCAAGTCGCCAGTTTGTTTGCTGTATCAAGTTGCTTTAAAAATTAAGATTTCAGGTTGTATCCGTGGTGGACCCTGGCAGATCGACGGGAGAACCTTTCAGAGCTCAGCACTTGGTCTTAGACTTCACTCCACAAACTGAAGATAACGAGGAAGTTCAGGAGAGATGTATACATTAATGGGAGCATGCGCAAAAAGAGTTGCACTTAGAAGGCATAACGGTTCAACCAGTAATGTTATATTTTAACTATTATTCCTGTTGTTACATTTTTTTTATACAACTTAGAGTGGCAAACAAGCTGACGGCCCACCTGATGGAAAGTGGTAATCGTCGCCTATAGACATGAGCAGTACCATGGACATAACAGAGTATATTGTTTCGCCCATGATACCCCTCATGCGTTGCCATATCTGAGGACTCAGGTGTTATTCCTCTGTACCCAGTAAATTCACGCCATATCCCACCCTTCAAACCTGACATTAACAATTGTGAAATGTATTTCTAACTGTAACTGCTAATTTTAATTTTATAGTCACTATACTCCACGTTATATACCTGTAATGAGAATGACTGTATGAAAATGATTCGATGATTTGTTCACCAATGCCAGGGACATGGGGAGCGGTACAAGGCCGCTGCGCCTACAGCGCATGCGGCGCACGCTGCCTTTGCGGCGTCCGGGAGTACATACTGCACGACGCAGATCGCACCGCGCAACAACGCACGGACATGCGCCATTTTGACGCACGCGTTAAAACTGAATGCCTCAACATGAGGATCATGTACGACAAACCTTGATAAATTATTGTATTAACAGAATACAAACGACTGACAGAATTAAATTGAATCTATTATAATATAGTATATAATTCATTAACACCTAAAAATATTCCATAATGTGTCTGTGTATTTTATTATTAATATTACAAGTAGACGGCCGTGTGGTCCCGGCATACAATATGCCACCCCTTCCTTTCCTGTATGTATAGAAAGATGCGACTAAGGGAGGACGAGGGATGGGCTGCAGCGACCCCCTTAATTTAACATTTCTAAAGTTTAACTACAGTTGCCAATCCGCCTGCCAAGCATGGCAACTACAGGCAAAACCCCCCAAGGGGAGGCTTCAGCAGTGGACGGTTAAGGGCTGATATGGTTATGATAATTAAAATATTAATTATATGAAAAATATAAACTCCTTAAAAATTTATTTATTTTATTTAAAAAAATAAAAAATAAATAGAATTAATTACAAACGTAAGTAAAAAATATATAATAAATTATAAATATAATAAAAATTAAGGTGTGATTATTTTAGACGAAAATGCAGCTCTCAATGTACCTGAAACACATAACATTGATATTTATATCGGCGTAGACGTATAACAACAATTTTTTAATTCAACAATGTCAAACAACAATCAAAGATTATATAACCGGGTGAAAGGCAATTCTATTTTTAATCTGTGTTTGCAATATACTATAAGTATAGTAATTCTTTTTTTATACAACTTAGAATGGCAAACAAGCTGACGGCGCACCTGATGGAAAGTGGTAGCCGTCGCCTATAGACATGAGCAGTATCATGGATAAAGTATACTGTTTCGCCCACATTATTCCCCATGTGTTGCCATTCATACAGATTCAAGTGTTATTCCTCTGTACTCTGTAAATTCACTGCCATATATCACTTTTGAAATAGAAACACAGCCATGCAAACATAACTGCTTCACGGTAGAAACACGAATGGGACAGAGGTGCCCAAGCATTTCATATGAGATCGTTTATATAGTACATTATACTAAGTCTATGGTTTGTATCTTCCGTAGACGTAGAAAGAGTAATAGGTCCTACTAATACATACATGTCGTAGATAAATCCCAAGAACCTACTTTATTACATTCGAAGATTCAAAATAAAGCATCTACCTTAAAATTGTAGTTTCAACTAACTTTAAATACTTTTCCAAGGCAAATACGTAGAGAATAGGCTCCAAGGTTTGTGTACAAGATACAGGATGAAATCTTAGTCGTTAGCGATAGCGTGAGAATTACACCTTGAATCATAAAAATGTCAAGCTTCTTATAAACCATGATATATATATATATATATATATATATATATATATATATATATATATATATATATATATATGTGTATATATTATATGTGTATTTCTTATGTATAATTATTTTGGTATTTAACAATAATTGTCACATGTTTTTCACCACCTCTGCTCTTCATACGCTTTCTGTTTTTACCCAATGGTTAGCTGGTAGAGAATGCCATATGGCATTAAGCTCGCCACTTGTACAGTTTCATTGTGCAATAAAGAACAAAATTTTTGAGGCTCCTATCCTAACTTGGATGTGTCATGGGAGGCTGAAAATTTTTTGTCGTATTTCGACCTTGTTTCTTTGGCGAAAATGTTTATTTTTATTGATAGAATGTTTTTTTAAAAGGACAATTAACGATTTTGATTTCATCTAATATATATATATATATATATATTTATTTAAAGGATCATATACAACGTGTCTTAGTACATATATTAAAAAAAATGTGTGAGAGAGAAAGTAAGTAAAAATGTGTATTAACAAAGGCTCTCGCTGGATACTGCAAACTAAACAAGCATATGGCCCAACTGGACTTATGCCCAAAAAGCGTTTGCATATTTTGTCACAATGAGGAAGAAACGCCGCAGCACTTAATGCGTAGCTGCAGCCCACAAATACATAAACGATATATCTCCTATGAAAAACACACTCTATATTCTGGGGAGATAAAAACATCGCTACAAAAAACATCTTAAAATTCCTATCGCTGATAGGAATTACCGGCGCACTTTAAAAAAGGGCGAGCTCAAAATATCATGGAAAGGTCGCAGTGTCACAAATTTTTCTGTCTGAAAAAGCCTGTCTTTTAAATATTTTATTTATCAAATAAATAGTAAAAGAATAATTGAGTAAATTATGAGTATAATTACATTATAAAGCAACAAAGTAAAAACTGAACTAAGTATAGTAGCAAAATAATGCAAGTATGCTAAAATATGAATGCCATCAAGCGTGGGAATTTCTTTGCATGATACAGTGGCCGAGAGCTGGAGGATGTCCCGGAGGTTCCATTGACCTGGATTAAAACAAAAGAGTGTTCTGAAGCCACTTTTAAAAGAAGGTCAATTCTTATATATATATATATATTTGTTTATTTTTTATACCACTGAGGCGGTAAAAAAGCATATGGTCTACCTGATGATAAGCGGTTACCGAGGCCTATGAACGCCTGCAATATCAGGGCGCCTTTTGCCAATCCTGAAGAAGTCTTTTTATCCCTTTTTTGAAGAATATAGACATATAATATAAACCTAAAATATACCATGGACATAACAGAGTATACTGTTTCGCCCATGATGCTACCCATGCGTTGCCATTTCTGAGGACTCAGGTGCTATTCCTCTGTACCCTGTAAACTCACTGCCATATCCTATCCTTCAAACCGAAACACAATTATGCAAACAACTGCTTTACGGTTGAAACACGAATAGGACAGAGATGCTCAAGCAAACGACTTTTGTACAAAGTCTCCCTCTGGTAAACCCCATGCTGTTTGTATATACGTTACATTTCTTTCAAATTTGAGGATTTTATTATCATCGATAGAATTTTTTTAACCGAAGTAATTTGCTTGTGGTATTACTTACTTTGGATGTTCATTGTCCCAGATGCGCATCGTCTCGCATAAAACTTGTACTTCTGCCTGGGTGTATGTATGGCTGTCACGAGGTTTTCTACTGCAGGACTTGCATACTCCGGTACAAGTACATGCTGCATGTAGAAAGCGTTCATATAAAGTTACCCTCTCATTAATAAAAACGTCAAATCTTTCATAAACCTTTTTCAGGTATTGAACTGTCCTGTCTCTTTCAAACCAAATTCCCGATTTGAAAGAAAGTGAAAAATAGTGTAATCGTTAAAGGAGATTTTAGTTTTTATGAATTTAGGATTTTAGTTTATACTCTAGCTAATGGAATTCCGTTATAGCAACAAAATCCATTACCTATAAAAACGCATATTGTGAACTGTTTTGGTTCATATTTTCCATAATGCTCAGAAATGTATCAGAAAATCCTTACTAATATTATAAAATGAAAGTGAGTTAGTCTGTTATTCTTACTTACTCTTAATGCCTTTACGGCCTTAATCAATCGTCATGCAGTTGGTATGCACATACTGTATATGATGGAGTAGGATATAGGGTACTATTTACTCTGGTACTTTTAATGGATGATAATGGAATGGTAACCCCGCCTGCGCGGGGGGAAAGGGATTGTTAGTAATGGGGTCTAATAGCCCCATTACTAGCAATATACTCTATCAGGTCGACCTCCAAGCGGTTCCCCCTGGAAACCATCATGTTTAATTCTTGTCGAATTCATCACGGTGGGCCAAATGACCTGCATTTATTTTCACCTATCATCTTCCACTGGTGCCTCGTCGGTGTATACCGATAGCGCGGGCGGGGTTACCTTTTCATTTTCACCCATTATAAAAATCCCGCCTGCGCTATTTGTATACACTGGTAGGCCACGAGTGAGGGATGATAGGTGAGGATGAAATAGGTTAGTTAGCCCATCGTGACCAATTCAACAGTAAACCAATCTGATGGTTTCCAGTGGAAACCGCGTGGATGTCTACTTGATAGGGTCTATTGCTAGCAATAGAGTTGCTAATCTCCAATACTAACAGTCTCTTTTTTCTCCTTTTAGATAGATAGATACTCTTTATTGTTTCCTCCAAAAGATTACAATAGTAAACTTATTATAAATATAAATAATTACAAGAAATAATCACAATGAGAAAACAATAGGCGACCTTATTGTTAAGAGCGATCTCTTGCAGGCAACCTTTGGATGGAGAGGAATAATTATAAACAATTTGGTGGGAGGCACGATGAAAAATTTTGTTAGTTCTAAATATGGGAGATGTGATACCTCGGTTACGTAGATTAAGTCGCGGGTAAAAGCCAGTATATAAATAAAAAAGTTTTACAAGTTTTATTTCTATTTCTTTGGGTTGTCTCGCGTACGTTGGAAGGATTATCATCTTCAGGATACTCCCTGGTGCCGAGTGAACACAAAGGTTGAGGCAGCCTTGCTTCAAATGTCCGATCAATAAGTCCTGTTCAATAATATGAAAGAACAAGTAAAATATACCTTTCTTTATGGCAGTTTCCTTTTATTCTAGCTTTTTTTTTTATACAACTTAGAATGGCAAACAAGCTGACGGTCCACCTGATGGAAAGTGGTAATCGTCGCCTATAGACATGAGCAGTACTATGGAAATAACAGAGTATACTGTTTCGCCCATGATACCCCCCATGCGTTGCCATTCCTGAGGACTCAGGTGTTATTCCTCTGTACCCCGTAAATTTACGCCATATCTCACCCTTCAAACAGAAACACAGCCATGCAAACACAACTGCTTCACGGTTGAAACACGAATGGGACAGAGGTACGCAAGCAATGGACTTTTGTACAAAGTCTCCCTTTGGTAGAAATAGAGAATGAGAATTGTCGATGATCCCAGGTTTATAAGCGCTATCGAACCCTTAAGTTTTAGGAGAGATTTTGCCTCCTCTGCGTGTTCTACCGCTTGTACAACGGATTGTGCTCAGAGAAATTGTTCAATACGATGCCTACGGCCACTTTCTACCATTGTGCAATCGTAGAGTACAGTCATATATACATCTCACCGGCGACAGGGAGTTCATCCTCATATCCTCTAGGGTAATACCTTGTACGTTCTAGCTTAGATGGTCGCATTCAACGCGGTTTCAGATATTCTTTCTGCCACGAATGCTCAGATTAAGAAATGAGCTCCCTGTCGAAGTTTTTTCAAGAAACTACAGCATGGGATTCTTCAAAAGGGGGGTAAAGAGGCTTCTTCAGAGTCGGCAACGAGCGCGTAATACCCCTGGTATTGCAGGCGTTCAAAGGCTACGGTAACCGCTTACCATCATGTGAATCGTATGCTCGTTTACCACCTCAGTGGTGAAAAAGTATTTATTTCATAAATTAGATAGATAATTTATTTGCATTAATTACTTACAGCACACAAATTACAACATACATATACAAAAAAGCGAGATAACATAAATGATTAAAAAATACATAAAGCTAAATACAATTTTTCGTTTGTGCGTGTGCCATAGCAATACAAAATGGTCACAACTCAGTTTATTGCTTCGCCCTCAAAAGAGCAAAGCACTGATATTCTGTTGCGGCCAATGGGAATAGGGTAACAATAAAACAATACTACCAGATTATCTATACAGTAAACAGACAGATATGACAGTTTATCTAGCAAACAAATGGAACATAGAGGTAACTTGCTGGAATGTCTAACTTTTGCCTCTCAATTAAGAATTTTTGTAAATTAATTTTGAAACTGGACTTAGTGGTAGATAGATAGATAGATAGATAGATAATTTATTTACATTACTTACAGCACACAAATTACAATAAAAAAAAAACATACACGTAATACACAGCAAAAGAGACAAAAGAATAAAAATAAAAAAGCACAAATAAAAAAAAAATACAAAAACAAAATATATAATCTAACAATCTCCTTTGTTACTCTTCCTTCATGCGTGTGCCATAGTAACACAATATGGTCACAGCTCAGTTTATTGCTTTGCCCTTAAAAGAGCAAAACACTGATATTCTGCTGTGGCCAAGAGTGGTAATGATAACATATCATTACTTTTACATTCGACATATTTTCCACATACCAAAAACGAAATAATACGTTAAAACCAATATAAAACATTATTTGTTTCTGCTGATAGACAGTTTCGAAGGATACTATAGCCCAAAAAAATGTTATTTAGGAGTTCCTATGTAGACTAACCTTTTTTTTCGACGAATTCCAGCATAGATACTGCCGTTGTTTCTCTCACTTCGGGCTCTTTAATTAGTTCTACATTCTCCTCTTGATATGTATTATGGCTTGACACAGATGTATTGGCGTAATGATTTGGTTTCTGGAATTGTTTGATTTTATAAATTTACTAAGAATATAGATACTTACGATAGATAGATAGATAACCTTTATTACCAGTATTAAGAAAATAAAAAATTAAAACAACAAAAAGAAAAAAAAAACGGTGTTGCTGGTAATAAGAGCCGCCTCAGCTGTTGCTATATATGTACATCTCCAGCTTGATGTACCTATATAGCGCTGATTTTCAGGCGGCCCCTTAACTCCTTTACCTTTAGCACGATGACACATGATGATTATATTTAACATGGAGTGGACAGTTGTTGATTTGGAATACTGCTACAGCAATAAATTTCGGGTCTCTTCGGTTATATTCTCGTCTTGTTTGGGATATAGATTATAGTGATTTGATCTAAGCACCTGTTCCATTTTGGTCAAGTGTATATCACTTGATACTATTCCTTTTTGTATTTTTTGTATGTAGCTTGACAAACAAGCTGAAGGCCCACGTGATGGAAAGTGGTAAGCATCGCCTATCATAGGAAGTCTATAATAGGCGATGATCATGTATAAGTACCATGGATATAACAGAGTATACTGTAACTTTGTCGTGATACGTTGTGGTACCTTTCATGCGTTGCCATTTCATGGGTTTCAGTTGTGGCAACGGTAACAGTGTTATGAGTTCAATGGTTTTTCCCATCTCAGCCAAGATATGCTCAACGCACTTAAAGAAGTTTTCACTTCAAAAAGATGCCCTGATTGTATGTAAAGCATTTGTAGGAAGACTAATAATAATAATAATAAACTCTTTATTGCGCACAATAGAGATGTATACAAGGAATATTAATACAGAATGTGCATATACAAAAGGCGGCCTTATTGCTAAAAGCAATCTCTTACAGACAACCTGGATCAAGATCAAGACTATCTATATAATTTAAGAGAAAAACACAAAAAGAAAAACACTAACTGCGTCTTTCATCATAGTTTGCAGCTCCGGATTACTCCGGATGAATTTCCAGAAAGCACAACATTTTTTTTGCACAACATCGTTATCCAGCTCTTCGGTTGGAGAAAAATCTATAACTAAGTGCTGAGCCAGCAGTGGCTCACCGCAAGACCCTTCACCAAAGTCGCTGCATGTGATTTGCGGGGCTGGTGGATTACCAGTGGTTTCAAATGAAGAATCTAAGCTGTTTCGCAAACCAGATGTCGTACTGTACGACTTTAATTCCGATTGCTCTACGCTTTGGCCCATGTTTACATATAATTCAACTAATTAAGTAATAAACTTGACAAATGTCAATTCATTAAACACAATAGCTAAAATATGTCTGTAAGAAGTTTTAGTTTTTATAAAAAATACGGTAAACCCTTCTTCTTAGTGTTAAACTAAAGATTTCGACCTTGTTCTTAGGGTTAAACCCCAGAAATATTTTTCTTAATAAAAGTCTTAGATAATGAAGATGCAAAAAATATGATCACAAAATATTTACTAATAAATAATAAAGTTAACTTTCGAGTACCTAATGATAAAATTGTATAAGAACCGGATTGCAAATGGCAATAAATATGGACTAACTTAATTAGCCACTCGCCGACTACTACGATACAGGGCTGCGAGCCTAGTGGAGTAATCACTGTTTAGTAAATTGTGTACCCGCATTTTAGTTAAAATAAAGTTATACTATATACATATATAAAGTTAAATAATTAAAATTAATAATTAAATAATGAATAATAATAATAAGAAAATACGTACCTATCGTGATACAATTTCAATGGCTGGATAATATTGTAACAGATCCTTAGACTATTTCCAAAGTGAAAAAAAGTGTTGTCCTCCTCTCTTGTACTTGCTGTGCCCAACACGGTCCATAATTGAAGTTAAAATGTTATCTACTAATTATATTATGGAATGTAATAAGAAATAAATATTATATAAACATCGTACTGTTTAAATAAAGTTATTTCCGATTAGAATCCCAGAAGGATTAAGATGATACCATTATTCGATTTAGTTTGTTATTGGCCTTTCCCGTCACTAGAGATTTGTTTCGGTGTAATTCGAAAGTGTAATATATATAATTTAAAAATTTAAAAATAATGAACATTTATGAGACCTTTAGTACTTATCTTTTTTTTTTTTACAACACAGGGGGCAAACGAGCATGCGGCTCACCTGATGGTAAGTGACTACCGCCGCCCATGATCACCCACAACACCAGCGGCATAGCAGGTGTGCTGCCGGCCTTTTAAAAAGGAATATACTCTTTTCTTGAAGGTTATGTTGTCGTATCGGTTCGGAAATACTGCTGCTGGAAGTTGATTCCAAAGAGTGTATCTACATGGAAATAGTGATATTGTAAATAGCTAGCATGTTGTGTGTACATATTTTTAGGAATTTGCTTAGAATTTAGTTTAAAGAGCAGACACAAGCACAAAACAATCGCATAATTTACATGAACATAGATAGATTTTTTGTTATATACAACTTAGAATGGCAAATAAGCTGACGGCCCACCTGATGGGAAGTGGTAACCGTCGCCTATAGACATGAGCAGTACCATAGACATAACAGCGTATACTCGCCCATGATACCCCCTATGCGTTGCCATTCCTGAGGACTAAGGTGTTATTCCTCCGTACCCAGTGAATTCACGCCATATCCCACCCTTCAAACCGAAACACAGCCATGCAAACACAACTGCTTCACGGTAGAAACACGAATGGGACAGAGGTACGCAAGCAATCGACTTTTGTACAAAGTCTCCCTCTGGTAAATAATAATCACCTGAATGTAACATACAATCAATATTTTAACATTTATCAATCTATCAGATTAAATAAATGTTAAGAACCTCCTTGGTTCAATGGCAGGCGATAATATAAACATTGACTGAATTTGCTGACTAATATTAACTAGTGTAGGTAACCAAAATCCTAGTCCTGGTTTTCCTTAATACTGATCCTGATCCCGGCGTTGCTTAATACTGGTGAGTGCTATTACCAATTTCCTATATTAATAAAGTAACAGAGATTTGTTGGAGCAGGATGTACGCTTGAAGGCCATAAAAGGGTCTGTATTCGGACCTTCTTCGGCTTATATGGTTCCGGTGACATGTGGGGGTAACAAAGTAGTGAGATACCGCTAACAATATATAGAGCAGAGGAAGCCAACCGGTCGACCGCGACTATTAGTCCAGTCGATCGTGGCAATGCAAAAAATTTAAGATTTTGCAAATCTAGCGGAAGATGCTCAGATGCAATGCTCACACTAATATAAATAAGTAGTTACTAAGAATAACTTTCAGTTTTATGTTATCCCTCTTAATAAAATAAACAATACTACAATACTACATAATTGTGTACTGAACTATGTGAGATTTGAGATTTCAAGAAGTACGTAATTGGTAGATCGTACAGGGTTTCGTCAGTATACAGTAGATCTTGGGTCCAGTCGAGTCGACCATCCCTATAGGAAAGTGGTTCGGAAAAATTTTTGAAAACAATATATGTTATAATAAAATTAGACATTTGCCTATAATGACTTTATATATTTACATAAGTTATTTTTTTCTTCTTATGTATGTAGTTGTGAGTTTTAATCATGAAGTTGTTGATAGATTAATAAATAAATAAATACAAATAAAATTAAACTATGCCCGCCACTTTGTCCGCGTGACCAGGATAGGGATTTAATCTATGTGTTCAAAATTAACGTTTTTTTACATATACTGACAATTATAGTTTTTATAAAAAAGGATATTTATAAACAATCGAAATAAAATAAAAAATACATACAATACTTCAAGTCAACAGACGGCATTTTTACTTACAAATCATATAAATAATAATATATAATAACAAGAACCAGCATATTTTACAAACACTATGTAGTACAATTTTACTTTTGTCTGTGAATTTAGTCATACAGGGTTACACTTTGGGCGTATTGCACACGTCCGTGTAGCCTAACTTCAAGCTGCAACTAAATATCATTGCTTTGCTTTTAAGCAAAACTATCACCGAGCTGTAGCCTCTTTGGGTCACTGCGACACACATGGCGAAAACATATTTTTATATTTTATCTTTTATTTTATATTAAAAAAAAGTAATTTATTTGATTCTATGAATTCAATTGTCAATTTACGTGTACCACTCTCTTTTCATTCAAGAGTTTCCTCCTGTAGGTGCAACTAATTCATGCATCTTCCTCCAGCCAGCTCTATCCCAGGCCATATCCTTGACCTCCATATACGACACGTCACCTAGTGTTTCTTTTATCTGTCCCATGTAGTCATTCCTCGGTCTTTTTCTTTCTCTATTTTTCCTTTTACTATGCTCCTAAAGAAATCCTCATGTCGTATAAGGTAGCTCAGCATTCTGCCTCTTGTGTGTTTATTTGAATCATTTATGATTCAAATAAAGTGTTTATCTATTCTGATCTAATATCCTGCTTCTTGGGGGGGGGGGGGGAGGGATTGTTAGTAATGGAGACTGAGAATCCCATTTCTAGCAATATACCCAACCAGGTCGATCTCCTCGCGGTTCTCCCTGGAAACTATCATGATTAATTCCTGATGAATTCATCATGATGGGCTAACTGGCCTGTTTTCATTCTCATCTGTCACCATTCACTGGTGCTCCGCCAGCGTATCCCGTTAGCACAGGCGGGGTTACCATACCATTTTCACTCATTAAAAAAAACAAAAAAAAAAATATCCTGCTTCTTGCTTAGGTAAAGCACAAGTTTTCGAAATTTTTATCAAATTCTAATTGTAAGTAAATTTTATGATTATCGATTGATATTGAGTAGGTAACAAACAAACTCAAGATAAAAAAAAACATGATTTTAGAAGTACTCGTAGGAAAGTCAGCGATATCAATCACTTCTAGATGGCGTGTTAAGATAAAACATAGATAGATACTCTTTATTGTTCCCTCCAAAAGATTACAATAGTAAACTTATTATAAATATAAACAATTACAAGAAATAATAACAGTGAGATAACAATGGGTGGCTTTATCGCTAAAAACAATCTCTTCCAGGCAACCTTTGGACGGACAGGAGCAATTATAAATAGTTAAATAAATAATAAATTAATACATATCCTTACTTTCTACTTTATATATATATATATATATATATATATATATATATATATATATATATATATATATATATATATATATATATATATATATATATATATATATATATATATATATATATATATATATATATATATATATATATATATATATATATATATATATATATATATATATATATATATATATATACATAAATGACAGAACAGATCAATATATGGCTAACAATGGGACTATTAGTCTGGATTACTAACAATCCCTTCCGTTTCATCTGTTAGATCCCCTTGTTAACAATTCCTTTTCCTCCACCTCTGTCAGCATGTAGTGATAAAGCAGTGCTACTAAATATCAAATAATAATTTGGTGTTCGAGGGACTAGCGGCCCCATTGTTAGCAATACACCCTGTCAGGTCTTCCTCCACGCGGTTCTTCTCGGAAACCATTGTGGTTGTGCATCCTCTTATTTTGATTTAAAAATCTGTCTCCAATTTGGAGTCAATGACATCCCCAGTGTACTTAACATTTTAAATATTCCAGCCCTTATACTTCTGTTATTTAGTTACTTACAATGAGAAAGCTTCAAGCATTTCTTTTGGAACGGAACATTTTAAACGAGACTTTAATTGCTACTGTGTAGAGTCTGAATTTGAAATGTCGCAGTAGATGTTTACTGAATGACACAGTGAAATATGCAGTGCTCATCTTAGACGTAAAAGGATGGCAAATCTGGGACGTGTAGCGAATGGGGAGGACGCAGATGTTGGATAGATTGCCTTCAACATAGATATGTCACTACTGTGCTGTGAGACATCATTAGTTCATAAAGTATTTAGCGTGAAATCACTTGATAAAATTCCCAATGATTTACGAAGATACGAAGAAGGTACTTTATATAATTGAAAGTAACTGAAAAAATGTTATTTATATATTTAATACACATTGATATTTATATATTAACTTATACATACATACATTTTTGTTTTTAATTCTTGTTATGTATGTAGTTTTTATCATTAATTCTTTTTTGTGTTAAAAATCAACCTATTCTGTTTCGTCTCTGTGAATGTTGAGTACAACTATAATTGGATTGCAAACTTATAATGCTATTGTTGTATTCTATTGTTAAAAGTTTTGTTTGTAATCTGTTGTTGTGTCACAAAAATAAAAAAAAAAAATCTGTGACGCCTGTCTCCCATTAGTGTAGGCAAAAAAAAAAAATGGAACGTCAACTATATAACAATACATCGATTCAAACAAGCCTCTTTCGTTTCTTATTTTATATTAGTCATTTATTTTATGTTAATCTGTTTTCCTTATGCCTATAATTATCTATATAATCTAGTATTAGGTACATATTTAACATGTCTGGGATTATATATTATACATATAGATAGATAGATAGATAGATAGATAGATAAATAATTTATTTGCATTACTTACAGCACACTGATTGAGAAAAAGATACACGTACAAAAAATTAAAAAAAAAAAACAAACAAAATGCATAAAATTTGTAACAATTTTTTTCCCCTCACGCGTGTGCCACAGTAACACAAAATGGTCACAACTCAACTTACTGCTTTGCCCTAAAAAGAGCAAAACACTGATATTCTGTTATGGCCAAAAGTGAGCCGCGAAATT